GGAAAATAAAAATGGTTGGAGAGATGAATTAGGATGGTTTGAATGTGTTTGAAACTAATTAAGGATGTTAGTATTTATAGTGGTTGATGAATGGTTTAAAATTTAAAATTTTGAAAAGAAAAACGGTTATATTTTGTAAAATGGAGTATTTTTTTTTTGAAAAATATGGTATTTTGAAAGTTGTTACAAAAATTGAAAATTAAATTTCTCTCTCATTGGTAGCCTACTATCGAGTTGCCTCGCCGAACCACCATTACCGAGTTTGAGGGGTGGTGTTGCCTCTGATTGTCGAGCTGCACATCAGATTTGTCGTGCTCTATGTCGGCCCACTCCGTATAACCCCATTAGAAAGGGTTCATGATTTTGCTTGGCCCTATGACAGATGTCATAGTGTGGTGTATCACCTCTATTATATCCTAGGTTGTTTCATACAACATTAGACATTTTGCTAAAAAAAACAAACAACACCTAAATTTATTATGCAGCGTAACTAAATTTAGACACATAACAAATAGAGTTGCATATTTGAAATTAGATTTATACATGCCATATTGGTAGAAGCTTTAATAGATGTCATATTGGCAAAATCTTCTACCACAACACTCCTACATTTAATTTCCCTAATAGTTTTCAAACCATTGAAACCTGATCACTTGTAAACTGCACTTGCAACGTATTTTCACTCATATAAGAAATAGATGGATTGGAAACAATGTAATTAGAACTTAGTTTGCTTTGAATGTTATATTCGTTTTTAAATTTGGAATATTTTGGAAAACCGATGAGCCTAAAGTTATATATATATATATATATATATATATATATATATATATATATATGTATGTATTTTAATTTTCCACCGCTGAACACTCGTACCTCCGTTGCTAATATAGTGAGGGATTATTTCCCTGACTGATACCTATTGGTTATTTTCATAACCAAAAATATAAAATGCGGAAGCTTTAGATCTTAATCTCGAATCTGTCAAAAGAAAAATTTTAACCTAAAAGAACGATTACATACCTGATTTCATTATGATCTTTGGATTTGAAGAATTAGAGTTGGGTTTTCCAGTTGATCTCAAAAACTCTCTCTAAATCCCATAGCAAACCCTAAAACAAATTTCTTGTATGTATTTTCGTATTTTGTAAATCTGCTTCTCATCACGTATTTATATAGATGAAGATATAACCGAATGTGAGAGATATTAGAGATTTCGGAGATCTTGAGTCAAACTGGGAACTCAACCTACAAGATTAACATGGTAAGTGTATATCTTTATCTGTTAATAAAATTGGTCCATCAACAAGTTTATATAATTTCCATAATAATATAACATTAATGATAACATTATTTATATACATTTATTAGTGGTCTCAAAATATCTAACAATCTCCCACTGGACCAGGAATGTATAAATGTATATATAACTGTATAAGCGCTTTAATGAATGTTATCATAGTATTTGTATCCTTAAACAATCTCGTCCACTAATCATACAAGTATAGGATCAAATTGGCATTCGTTACAATTTACGCAATTAGGTCCATCAATGCTCACATATACATATATAACTAACAACATAGATTAGACATGATGTGTGGTTTTAAAATCTAAATAGATTTCCAACGAGTTTCGCTTTAGATTGAATTGAGATTAAACTTCAAATAAGTGCAACTAATAATGAAGTTAACCAAATTCTTAATTTTGTACAAAAAAACATAATTGTTCTTAAACAAAACATAAAACACCAACGTGTGTAGTATGCTCATGAAAGACCTAGGGAGGTAATCCCTTTATGAGCGGATCCACTTTCATGGAGTTTGTTAATATGTGCTATATATATTTCCATTTTGCACTATTATGTTAACAGAAAGAAACTTGATGTTAATATGCTTTGACTTAATAGAACTTCTATTGTTGGAATATAACATTGTTGACTTATTATCACAAGGTTAATGGTGTTTCAATACCAATAATGTGTAGCCTCGTGACAAATTTCCGCAACCATATTCCATGCTAAAAATTATGTTGCCATTATGGAAGAAGTTACCGAAGTCTATTCCATGAAATGACTCATCATGCTAAAATGTAAAAGTATCCCGATATGAATAGGTAACCATTTTTGCATCTAATAAAATCAGATTCTTAATAAAAATGATCTCCCAAACATCTGATTTCCTATAGTTGAGTATATAGCCTTTTGTTATATATAGATATCTCAAAATCCATTTGCTTGCTTTCTTATGATCCACACTTGGGTTACGTAGATATCTACCCAAAACTAGAAAGATAAATTTACTCCCACTTAATTTGTATAATCTACTGTATTTACCTCAAAACAAAAAGGGATAATAAATTGATGAAAAATGTGGTACCACGCGTATGATATAAAGTTGAGGTTGTTGAGTTTGTGTATTCAGAATAGGAGATTGAATAACATTGTCAATCACTGATTCGTAATCTGCACACTATCGGAAGCAATAATAAGAATCAAGATTGATTCCTCCTTAAGGACAATGTTTTAACCTTATTTCCCCCCAAACTCAATATCCTCAAAGAATGTTGCTCTATCCAAAATGCAAGGTCAATATCCATGCCATTGAGAACTAATAATTCTCTCATTCCATTCCCTAAAATTAATCTCATTGAGTACATGCATCCTAAATGTGATCAATGTTAGTAGACATAATACCACAAATCAAATTTTTTGTTTTGAAAACATAAACAAACCTATTTTATGGCCATTAATGCATAAACCGTAATCAATAAATTCAATTTATGACATCTTTACAACTTAACACATACACACATAATTTCATGAATTATATAATTAAATTACACATTTTAAATAACTTCCATTAAAATCTTTCTCCAAATACAAAATAATTGAATGGATTTTCTACAATTGTATAGTTTTATGATTTTCAACTAAATAAAAAAACTAAAGAACTTAGGTTAAATAAATTAAGTTAGACTACAATGGAAGTCCCAACGTGTTATGCAAAAATATATTTTGCTTAAAACTTTAAAGCAATATATGTAATATCAAATTATATGAATACTTTGTAACACGATTTGTACGGTACTGCAATATAAATGAATACTGATCGTCACAATACACACATGAAGCCCAAAAGTTATCAATATTTTATTAAAAAATTAATAAATAAAGGCTACACATATTTACACCATGCACGTATATTAGTATATGACCATACTACCATATACATACCGACAAAAAATTAAAAATATTAGGTGGGGTATAGCTACACATAGGTACAAAAGGTTCTAAAAAAACCGAAAAATAAATACGTGCCGGTCCTTATGTCAAAAGTAAGTAGAAAATCGAAAGGGTAATTCTTGATATAATATATATTTTTTTTCGAAAAGAAAAGAACATACAAATGCTGAAGCCAAGTACATAAAAATCATAATATCATAAGCCAAAGTTAAGAAAGAATATGCCGGCAAGAACATGAAGAGTAAAATAACATATATCATGCAAGTATGTTTTAGTTTGAAGACCAAAGGAACTAAAACCAATCCACGATTTTAATTAACAGATTCAAGTAGGCTCTGATACCAATTGTTCGTTATTTTAATAACCAAAAACATAAAATGCGTAAGCCTTAGATCTTAATCTCGAATCGGTCAAAAGAAAAATTTGAACCTAAAAAAACGATTACATACCTGATTTCATTATGATCTTCAGATCTGAAGAATTAGGGTTGAGTTTCACAGTTGATCTCAAGAACTCTTTTCAAATCCCACAGCAAACCCTAAAACGAATTTCTTGTATGTATTTTCGTATATTATAAATCTGTCTCTAATCACGTATTTATATAGATGGAGATATAACCGAATATGAGAGATATTACGGACTTAAGAGATCTTAATTCTTAAGTCAATCCACAAGATTAACATGATAAGTGTATATCTTTATTTATTAATAAAATCAGCCCATCAACAATTTTATATAATTTCCATAATAATATAAAACTAATGATAACATTATTTATATATATTTATTAATGGTCCAAAAATATCCAAAAAATACCTCCTATTCTAGTAGTGAATTATCCCCTTATTATGAACTAGGTTTAAACCCGTGGCAACCAGGGTTGATAAATAAAACATTATTGATAATTCTAAACTCTTATAACTAATAAAAAATTTGCAAAAAAAAATATTAATTTAAAAAAATAAAAATTTTTCGGTAAGTTTATAGCGAGTAGTTAAAATTAATATATAAATATCCGATCTACATTCTATACGTGTAGATATATGATAAAATCATGATTTTGTAAAATGCAATATAGAATATAATATGACTGAAATGAATTTTAAATTCCATTGGATTTCGTTGGGATAAAATCATGATGTTGTAAAATGAAATGCGTGGAAACCTGATCCAAGACAAAAAAAAAATTCTAAAAGAATTTATAACATCTCCTCAAATACCACAAAACAATTAGTAATATCAACCTATATACCCAATATCGACAACAATTTAGTCATAGTAAAATGATATAAATATGTAATCTTTAAATAATCATATTGGTTGCATATTTGGTGAAATGAAAGCGTATTGCTTAAGGACAAAAGAGGACTAAAGCTATCTCATTTTTAACCCCTTATGATTTCGACATAAATTTATCAAGTCGATCTTGCAAATCAATCACATTTCAAACAAACATACACTACACCCAAATAATTAAAGGACAAAAGAGGGGGTGTTGGTTACCATTTTTTGAACCAATTCATAACAGAAAATTGTAAATAGGGTCTAGATGCACTCTCAATTTGATCTAATGGTGAGTAGCAGCAAAACTTGATATAAAGGGGTTCCACATCAGATTCAAGCATGCCTCGTGGAAGAGCAGGCATAGACGCCAAGGGTTCCTCGCAACAGAACCATTGATTTTTATACAAAAACATAAAATTTGAGAAACATGAAGCAAGCTAACTACATTAAAATGACATTTTGATTTAGATAACTACATTAAGTTATCTGCATTTGAGCAACATGAAGCAAGCCACTTCTGAACTTCTAACTTTGCAGCTTCTAGCTCGGACTATAAGATATTACAATAGTATTTTAGATTAAAACATATTTGTTGTCTAATAATGTAAGGCAGAAAAATAAGAAAGAATTAAAAAAAAAAAGACAGTTACATACTTGGCATGTTGCAAGAGTATCGTTATAGCTTTGGAGACTACAAAAGACAAGGCACACAAAGGGGATTTATATTTGATTCAAATGAAAGTGTTGTGAAAAGATAAAACCTTAAAAAGAATTGTCTAAGAAGAATGAATTGATGATACCTTTCGAAAAGGGATAAAATCATCAAAGTTGTCATATCTGGTGCCGTTTCTTTTACTTTATGTTAGCGTGAGATGAAAATGAACAACAATGATCAAGAAATCAAACAACAGAGTAAAAGAAAAACATGGTGAAACTGTAATAGACATATCATCAAACATATAGCGGGCATCAATATTTACCTTGAGCATCGATTCCTCTGGTTGATTAAATATTTTTCGAGCAAATGTGTCATCTCTAGGTAAACGTTGATGCTGAAAAAGAATGGAGGTGGTGGTGAAAATGGTGTAGTAGCAATCGTGATATAGCAGTAATGGTGTGGTGGTGATGACTGAGAAAATATAGTCTCTTATAATTCAATTTTGGAGATGATTTGCTCCACGATTTCAAGCGATTTTGGTTACCGAAGAGAAAGATAATGCATGATTTAAATCCAATTTACCTCCACGTTTAAAGGGATTGAAAAGAAGAAATTGCTATTGTTAAGCAAAAGAACGAATTTCACGTGTAAGGAAGAACAACAAAATGGGAACTTCACTTATAAAATTCTAGGCGGGAGAAAAACCTGAGAAAGATTGAGGAGATGCCATGTAGCATTAGAGGTACTCTTTTATTAGGATAGGGGATTTGGATAATCACTGAATCGATCGATTTAAGGCCACTTCTTTAAGTTATTGTTGCACGTTTATTAGGAAAAATCCATGGATTTCTTATATGTGTAATATAAAATTGTTTATATATTTTTAAGGCATGTAGGATGGAACAAAAATGCATTAATTCATTAGTTAGTAAGATTAATTGATCTAGCAAAAATATTTATTGCCAGTTATTCTGGAATCAAACATATTCATCACATCAACAAATAAACTAGTACAATGAGTTCTTGCCAACCATGTCTAGTAACAAGACTCTAGTTTGTGTAAACACCAACAAAACCAGTGTCACTCGAACCACATATAGCGCATCATTGCTCTCCTGAACCACATCGAGAGCCATGTTAAAGAAATGGGGAAGAGGCACGGTTTGGACCACTGTTGCAGAGCCATTCACCCTTATCCCTTGAGGTTCACTCAACATCGGGGAATGTTGAACTTGTTTCTCTACTGCCACCCAAAACTCTCCATCATTTGCAGCCCTTTTAATATTTTTTGGCTCCCACAGTCAGTCAGAAAGACCTCGTTTGTGTCTTTTTTCGGTCCTGCAGCCAATGCCTCTGGATTTTGTTGTTCACATACTCTGGAACCAAAACATATTTTCGATCACTACTAACCGAAGGACCACCTGCTCCAGAGAGTCCACTTAACAAAGTGGTTACCCGTTGAGTTCTTGGATCGTATTTCAAGAGCCTTCCAGTTGAGTCAGGCTTAAACCCTGGTTTTGTCATATCTCTGCACAAAAAAAAGTAAAAAAATAAATAAATAAACATGTGAAGATTATTTTTCTATCCAAAGTGGTATACTTTATAAAAAGAATTTCAATATGTTTTAGTTGTTAAACCATAAAAAATTCTTTGAGGTGGTTAACAGAACAAATTCCAAATTATAGTGATTTTTATGAAATGAAAGTTTTATGTAGTGGTTTTATTGAAAAACATATTAAACAATTTACAAACTATACTCGTTTTATGTACTTTGGCCTTATTTTAACAATGAATTAGTTATTTTTGGAGATTTTGCATTGCTTTCGGAAAATTTACCTTATGTTGTAAGTCAAGCTAGCGTCAACCACATAAACATTTCCGGTGTATGATTCAACATCGATACCAAAAAGGTACTTGAAACCACTGGAAAGTTGAGTTGCTAGCCCACCATTGAATCCCACAACAAGGAGACCAAAAAAAGCATCGGTGATATAAAGATCACTGGTTTTATAGTTGAAGCTAAGAGCCATTGGTCTCCCGCATATTGGTCCTAATTTCAGATCGTTTATACCATCACACAATTTCTTCGTCCTGAAAGAATAAAATCATGATTTATCAAGTAATTAGTTATGTAGTTCAGCTATTCAGCATAACATATAATTCGAACTTGTAGCATTTGGTCACTAAGGAGGAAACCTTAGTTAGCTACTCATTGGTGCACACTTACTATATATAATACTCCCTCCGTCCCAAAATTATAGTCCATCTTTCATTTTTGGTTTGTTCCAAAATAATAGTAAACTTCTAAAAATAAATAACATTTTTACCCAAATACCCCATCAGTATTACTTAAGCAACTAAACATTTAATGAAACATTAAATGCAAAGTAAGGACAAAACTGTCGTTTTATTAAATAAAGTTAATGGTAATTAATGTTTTTCTTAATATGTATGTTTTTTGTCTGTGAACAATAATATTGGGACGGAGCGAGTATTAATTATTCAATTATCGGCTACATATGTGAAAAGTGAAATGTGTGGTTAGGGAAAAACAAAGTAGCACAACCTGTTAGGTGAAGTGTAGGCAAAATCAAGGAAGCCGGTTGTGGGGCCTTGCCATTTTAGGATCCTACCATCTGCGACTGCTACATAGGGACCTTTACCTCCACGGTCTAAGGCAGCGGATGCAGGACCTGTGACATTTGGGGGCAATACAAGTTTGTTAAAAGTACCATAATCATTGGATAACACATTTCCCAAAACCAAGAACCAAACAAGTAGATCGACAAGAAACAGGCTGCTTGTTTTCATTGCTACGATGTATGTAGACACTGTTTATAGTTATTTTTCAATTTGAATGCATATTTTCGTTTACTTATCCTTGTATATATACACGTTCAAAGCTAACCCACGCACACATACTATACATGTAGCAACAACTTGTTACAGTTGACTACTGTATCACCCATTTTGGGATAAAGATGATTGCTTAAACTTGGTGAAAAGGACACCGACTTCTATGTATTAAATGTTTATAAATCGACGTCTCCCTGCATGGAATTACTTTTACTACAAATACTTAATTATTTATTCTACCCCCCTGTTTCATCTAATATTTTTTTATATATTTACGTACGTCGTTCATATACCCTTTATTCATAAATGATTACTAGTTTTTGACATGTTACATATATAAAGCCCTGAAAAGAGTAAAATTTTTGATATCCACACGCTTGTTACTTCACATCGAAATGTGTAAGGAATCTAACTGATCAATAAACTTAAAGCCTGTCACATAATTTGCGATATTGAGAATCATTTTATAGAAACTAACTTCGCTAATCAAAGAGGGAGTTTAAATCTATTATCTGTATTCACAATATTTGCTTAAGAAGTTACCAAAAACTATAGGTTTGGGGAAAGGATGATTGATTTGACGATTACGTAAAGTATGAAATCAACACAGGCATGTATAAATGCAATCACAAGTCAACACCTTCTTTTATAAATTAAAACCGAAAGTTCTTTTACTTAGAATAAGGGTAATGTCTGCATTGGCCATTATAAATCAGAATGTTTGTTCTCTGCCGTCAACTTTCCGTGACATATTTTGCAACTTGACAACAAACATGGACGTAATCTGTCATATATATTATATATATTAGAACATCCACAGTAAATTGAATTTTATAACGTATAATGGAATTAATCCTAATATTTATCTCATTTGTCATATATCGTTTACCAATTTTCTTCGTTTTACTCAACGTCAATAAAAGTTGATTGAAAGGTATATATATATATATATATATATATATATATATATATATATATATATATATATATATATATATATATATATATATATATATATATATATATATTATCATTTGCTAACCATTTTATATCAATAAAATTTCCTTTTTTCTTATAAACTTTGGATGTTAAAGCATCCACAATGATGAGTTCAATAAGAGAATAGATTGAGGGGACAAGTGGTCATTCAATGGATAAACCCTATCACTATGAATTTCACCATGACATTCAATGAATTTGGAATTCAATGATGATTGAATTCTTCAATACAAAAAAAAAGTTTTTAATTTTGAAATATATATTATAAATTACATTTTGTAGTATTCTATTAAACTTTGTAGAATTTAATATATTGTAGGAAAAAAAATTAGAGTTGTATCGATTTTTGAAAGACGGTGTGACAATCTATTGAACTTTATGAAGTTCAATACATTGTGGATGTCATTTTGTTGAGGTGCAATGAATATGAAATATTAAAACTATTTATTGGACGACAACATGACATCCAACTATGATTGAATCATTGAATATGAAGTAGATATTTTGTCTAATGATATTAAACTATGCATTATAACTTCTCATAAATTTTATCAAACGCTTTCATAATGCTAGATGATTTCATCCATGACACAGTGTTGAGAATAACTCCACCCATCAAATTCCTTGATCACAAAATGGTCCACAACTTAGGTGGAATTTACGAAGTTAAATGATATTGTCGTTGACATATATATGGAAATAAGTAGATTTAGTCCATTGAATTATTTATTTTAGAACGTCAAACACAGACACACATGTACACTTTGTAGTATGCTTTTAAACCGGTCTTTTATCATCGGCGAGACTCGAATCATCTACCTATGGGCATGGACGGACTCGAGCATTGAGAGTAGAGGGGCCGAAATTTAAAATTTCAAAACATAATGTCACACCCTCGAACCAGACGGCGGAAACGTCTGAGGGCTCGTGTGACTATAAATTGAAATATCATCACAATGAATATACGTGAAACATAACACAATCACCAAACCTTATAATAATACAACTGGCATTGTTCACATCCAGTATATTGTCTTAAATTACATCTCCCAAAACATTAATTGTATGATGATTGACATTACACAAATATAATTCCACACATACTTGAAGATTCTCCTGCTTAACGATTCCCTGAGAATACAAGTTATTTTGAAAATGGTCAACATATATAATGTTAGTGAGTTCATAAGCATGTTTGAATGAAAGATTATGTATTATTCGTAAAACCCAGAAAATCCGATATTTTCTGTTAAAAGTCTGAAAATGATGTAATAGTCGAGTATAAATGCATGTGTGAATTCCATTGTAAAATATGTATAAGTATGCGATCCAGATTTTCTTTGTATTCTTTCTGTTATAAGTAGAAGGTAATTGAATAATAGAATTTCCCCAGAAAATCCGATATTTTCTGATTATAAAAGTGTTGTGGTCATAAACCCTAAGACCATGTATTGATGTATGTATGCTTTGTATTGTCATGATTAATATTCTGATTTTCGTAATGTTATGATGATAATGATCTCTATGTGAGTCGTTATAACCATGCTTGATAGTGACTAATTTGCCTGTCTTGGCATTTTTCTGAATGCCGGTTTGTTGAAGATAAGGTTTGTCACCTTAGACTGGCCTAGTCTAGCTGTAGTGAACAACTCAGGTGTGGGGGAGTCACCCCCGTATAGATCTATACACAAACTCTCGCTCTCCCTCCAGGAGACTCTGGTTATAACTACAGGCTACGGTCATACACTCAATGGTGTCAACCGACATGTCTCATTAGATCCTAGTTGTTACCACATGAGTAGTTGAATTTTGTGACAACCCGAAATTTCTATTCTGTACAACCATTCACTTCAATAGAAGTCAGAACAGTTTCTGCTAACTTTTGAGCTGTGTAGAGTCAGTTTGAGTGTTCTAAAGCCTAGTACTTCAGGAGATAACAGGAGAGAGGATGCCCTAGGGTTTATTGTGCAACAATAAAGTCCTAAAACTCCAAGAGTTTGGAGTTTACGGCCCAAACAAGGTGTTTACGGCCGTAAACCCTAAGGGGGTATAAATATGACACTTAGTCATATTTTACCACTTTTTCACATTTTCAAGATCCAAAACTCAAATCCTCTCAAGTATCATCCGATTTTCCTTCTTGATCTTCAACTTTGTAAGTGTTTCTTGCCCTAATAAGTTGATATCTTACTTAATCTAGTGATCTTACATGATTCCATCCGTGAAATCATTCCATATGTGTAGATCTTCAAGTTTCACCAAGAACACACACTAGTGTTCTTGGACTTCTAACATCCTTTCAAGCTTCTACATAGTAAGTACTCTTACCTTGGCTTGTTATAAGGCTTGTTACACTTCTAAAGCATCTAGGAAACACAAAGAAACACAAGATCAAAGGTGTTTACGGTCCAAGATGTTCTTGGACCGTAAACCCTAATGAAGGGGCCAAAGTGTGCCCTAGTCCCTTACCAAGCCTTGGATACTAGTCTAGATACCATCCTTGATGTGCTTAGGACTTAAAACATCAAAAAGACCATAAACCATTTGGGTTTACGGCCGTTAACCCAAGGAGAAATGGTCCAAGGACCGTAAACTCCACAAAGGAGTGAAATGGTGCCCTAATCACTTCCAAAGGCTTAGACTTGAAGTAGGAATGCTTCTTATGACCTTACAAGCTTCAAATCACAAAATGGTAAAAGTACCATGAGTTTACGGCCGTAAACTCATGGGTTTACGACCGTAAACTCCAATGGAGTTGGTCCCAAAACCGTAAACTCATAAAGCGTTTACCCTTGGACCCCAAACTCAATAGCCAAGCCCTACAACCCTTAGATGCAATCCTTATGACTTATAGCACTTAAATCAACTGTTTTACATGTCTTAGGATGTATTAACTTTGTTAATTAGTTGTTTTATGACTAATTGGATACATATATGTGTTATTATATGTTAAGTAGGACAGAACAAAAGTATTACGATTGTTGGGCAGCACAAGTAGACTTAGAGACATATAGTCAAAACTGGGAAGATATAGCCTGATCAACTATATTATCCGAGGATTGACTAGCATGTGCCTAAGTGTGGTTGTGAGGTTGCAACAAGTCTAAAAACTTACCAACACTACCACAATGAAAACCTTAGAACAGAACATAAACCTAAAATACTATAGGGGTATTTTGTGTTACTATAAATTACGTACATGCTTATTTCTTATATCTCTTTTCTCGCGTAGATAATATGGCTGGATTCCATCCCCACAGCAACTTGTACTTCCCTAACCAAGGTAATGAAGGAGGGTTTGAAGCCGAGCCAGAAAATGATCACCCAATCCCTGTGGATGGTCACCAGGCTGAAGGCTTTGCAGATGGTTCTGACTCCGATCCTGAAGTTGAGAACCTACCCCCGATGGCTCCTGTCCCAAATCCTAACCCTCGTCCGGCTTTTCAATGCCCGACACCTCCATGGGTAGAAAGCTTGGAAACATGGAGCCAAGGGCAGGATCAGCCCATGCCATTCAATGGAGACCGAAGCTTTTATGACCTAAGTGAAGGGGGCTCAGCAGACAGAGTCTTGCCAATCCTGGTCCGAAGAGTGGCCAGAAATGAAATTCAAGGCAGGACAGCTCTCCATCGAATCACGAAAGTTGACGCCAATGCGAGAATGCATACAATCCGCACCATTCGTCTGAAAGATGCTCGTGAGAGATCTACAGTAGATCATGAGACCCTGCAGCAAGAGCTAGCTGAAACTCGAGCCGAAGTCATAGAGCTCAGAGTACGCCAAAGGGTGTACGAAAAGGTACCTACTTGATATGGAGCGTCAGCTGGCTGAACTGAGGGTTCACCCAAGGGATAACCACCACCAGTAGGAGATGTTCTACCTTTCTTTCCCTAGTTGAAAGAATAGTCTTCCCATCTAGGCTCTAAGTACCACTTTTCTAAGTAACTAACTTGGTA